CCCCGTGGTGCCCCCTGCCCCTCCCCCCCCCTCCCCAGCTGCCCCTCCCCCCTCCCCTCCCCTCCCCCCTCCCCACCTGCGGGGGCGACAAGGCGAGGCCACCTCCGTAGGGACCCCGGTGTCCCCAACTTGGGGACCACAGCCCCGCCCTGGGCGATGATTGACAGCTGATCCCCACCCCCAGGCAATGATTGACAGCTGATCCCTGCCCTGAGGCGACAATTGACAGCTGATCTCCACCCCCAGGCAATGATTGACAGCTGGTCCCTGCTTCTGGGCAATGATTGACAGCTGATCCCTGCCCCTGGGCAATGATTGACAGCTGATCCCTGCCCCAGGCAATGATTGACAGCTGGTCCCTGCTTCTGGGCAATGATTGACAGCTGATCCCTGCCCTGAGGCGACAATTGACAGCTGATCCTCACCCCCAACATTGGGCAATGATTGACAGCTGATCCTCACCCTGGGCGATGATTGACAGCTGATTCCCACCCTGGGCAATGATTGACAGCTGATCCCCGCCCCCAGGCAATGATTGGCAGCTGGTCCCCGCCCCTGGGCAATGATTGACAGCTAATCCCTGCCCTGAGGTGATGATTGACAGCTGATCACCACCCCTGGGTGATGATTGACAGCTGATCCCCGCCCCTGGGCGATGATTGACAGCTGATCCTCACCCCCAGCATTGGGCGATGATTGACAGCTGATCCTCGCCCCTGGGCAATGATTGACAGCTGATCCTCACCCCCAGCATTGGGCAATGATTGACAGCTGGTCCCCACCCCCGGGCGATGATTGACAGCTGGTCCCCACCCCTGGGCGGTGATTGACAGCTGATCCCCGCCCCTGGGTGATGATTGACAGCTGGTCCCGCCCCCGGGCGATGATTGACAGCTGCTTTCCCGCAGGATAACGCGAAGGGCAGCAGTAACCTCCCCCTGCTCCTGCTCTTGTTTAACCAGCAGGGCCTTGTCGCCTCCGTGCAGGTAAGTCCTGGAGCCAAAATCCGCCCGATTCACCCCAAAATCCCACCCTCGGCCCCGCCCCTCCCCCTCCCCCCGCCTGCCTCACCCCTGAGCTTAAGGGGGGGAAACTCTGGTGGGATCTGAGGTGGCTTCGGGTCTCGGTGGGGTTGGGTGGGGTGGTGGAGGTGTCACCGCGGCTGCTGTGTGTCCCCGAGTGTCCCCAGGTGTCCTCAGGGGGTGGTTGTGGGAGGGGCCGAGGCCTCACCCCTCCCCCCTCTGCCCCTCCCCCACAGGGTGACTGGGTGTGGCTGAAGAAGTTCCCGGGGGACCAACACACGGAGGTGAAACCGGCCACCAAGCTGACCTTCTGCAAGGTGAGGGGTGGGGACACGGGAGGGGCGTGGGGACAGCCTTGGGGCATCGTGGGCACGGTCAGACCATGGGGACATCGTTGGGTCATGGGGACATCTCTGGGTCATGGGGACATTGAGAGGTCATGGGGACACCATTGGGTCATGGGGACATTGTTGGGTCATGGGGACATCGTTGGGTCATGATGGATGACATCAGACCATGGGGACATCTCTGGGGACATTGTTGGGTCATGGGGACATCTCTGGGTCATGGGGACATCGTTGGGTCATGGGGACATTGTTGGGTCATGGGGACACCTCTGGGTCATGGGGACATCGTTGGGTCATGGGGACATCTCTGGGTCATGGGGACATCGTTGGGTCATGGGGACATCTCTGGGTCATGGGGACATTGTTGGGTCATGGGGACATCTCTGGGTCATGGGGACATTGTTGGGTCATGGGGACATTGTTGGGTCATGGGGACATCGTTGGGTCATGGGGACATCTCTGGGTCATGGGGACATTGTTGGGTCATGGGGACACCTCTGGGTCATGGGGACATTGTTGGGTCATGGGGACATCGTTGGGTCATGGTGGGACAATCCTGGACCATGGGAGGCCCCAGGGGTCAAGGCCAGGTCATGGGGAGTCAATGCTGGGCCCCATCCCATGTGTCCCCACCCTGTCCCACCTGTCCCCACCACCATCCCGTATGTCCCTGCTCCATCCCCGTGTCCCCTCCCCGTCACCGTGTCCCCTCCCCGTGTCCCCGTGTCCCCTCCCCGTGTCCCCGCTCAGCTGCGGGACCTGCGGCACGAGAACGTGAACCTGTTCCTGGGCTTCTTCCACGACTGCGGCATCTTCGCCATCGTGTCCGAGCACTGCTCGCGCGGGAGCCTGGAGGACCTGCTGCGCAACGAGGACATGAAGCTCGACTGGATGTTCAAGTCCTCCCTCCTCATCGACCTCATCAAGGTGGCCACGGGGTGGTCTTGGTGGTCTGGTGGCCATGGGAGTGGTCATGGTGATGGTGGTGGCCATGGGGGTGGTCATTGGGGTGGTGGTCACCATGTGGGCGGTCATGGTGATGGTGGTGGCCATGGGGTGGCCCAGGCTGTCTGGTGGCCATGGAGGTGCTGGCAGATGTGGGGTGATCATGGTGATGGTGGTAGCCACAGGGTGGCATTGGAGGTCTGGTGGCCATGGGGTGGCCATTGGAGTGGTGGTTGCCATGTGGGCAGTCATGGTGATGGTGGTGGCCACAGGGTGGCCTTGGAGGTCTGGTGTTCATGGGGGTGGACTTGGGAGTGCTGGAGGCCATGGGGTGGCCATGATGGTGGGGGTGGCCACAGGGTGGTGACAGCAGTAGCCATGGGGGTGGCCATGGTGGTTGGTGACCAAGGCAGTGGTTGGTAGCTGTGGTTGGTGGCCATGGTGGTGGCCATGGTGCTGGTTGGTGGTCAGGGCGGCCACGACCCCCTGATGTCCTCACAGGGCATGGGGTACCTGCACCACCATGACATCGTCCATGGGCACCTCAAGCCCCAGAACTGTTGGCCACAGCATTGGTGACCATGGCATTGGTGACCACGGCATTGGTGACCATGGCATTAGTGACCACAGCGTTGGTGACCACGGCATTGGTGACCACAGCATTGGTGACCACGGCATTGGTGACCATGGTGTTGGTGACCATGACATTGGTGACCATGGTGTTGGTGACCACAGCGTTGGTGACCACGGCATTGATGACCACGGCATTGGTGACCATGGCATTAGTGAACATGGTGTTGGTGACCACGGTGTTGGTGACTACAGCATTGGTGACCACAGCATTGATTGTTGACCATGATATTGTTGACCATGGTGTTGTTGACCATGGTGTTGTTGACCATGGTGATGGATGACCACACCCAATGGCTGACCATGGTGACAGCCGATTGTGGCGATGGCTGACCATGGCATAGTTGACCATAGCAATGGTTGACCATGGTGATGGTGGACCACAACGTCAATTGTTGACCATGGTGGTGTTGACCGTGACATTGTTGACCATAACGTTGTTGACTGTGGCATTGTTGACCACGACGTTGTTGACCATGATGTTGTTGACCGTGACGTTGTTGACCGTGACATTGTTGACCATAACGTTGTTGACCATGGCGTTGTTGACCACGGCATTGTTGACCATGATGTTGTTGACCATGACGTTGTTGACCGTGACATTGTTGACCATGGCGTTGCTGACCATGGCGTTGCTGACCATGGCGTTGTTGACCATGCCGATCTGTGACCACGCCGATGGCTGACCATGCCGATGTGTGACCACGCCGATGGCTGACCATGACGATGTGTGACCACGCCCACATGTGACCACGCCCACGTGTGACGGCGCGCTGTCCCCGCAGGGCGTGCGGTACCTGCACCACCGCGACGTGGTCCACGGGCGCCTCAAGTCGCGGAACTGCGTGGTGGACGGGCGCTTCGTGCTCAAGGTCACCGACCACGGCTACAACCAACTGCTGGAGGCCCAGCGCGTGCCCGCCCCGCCCCCGCAGCCACACGGTGAGGGCGTGGCCTCGTGGTGTGACCTCGTGGGCGTGGCCTCATGGTGTGACCTCATGGTGTGACATCATAGTGTGACCTCATGGTGTGACCTCATGGTGTGACCTCATGGGTGTGGCCTCATGGGTGTGGCCTCATGGGTGTGACCTCATGGGTGTGACCTCATGGTGTGACCTCATGGTGTGACCTCATGGTGTGACCTCATGGGTGTGACTGCATAGTGTGACCTCATGGGTGTGGCCTCATGGTGTGACCTCATGGGTGTGACCTCATGGTGTGACCTCATGGTGTGACCTCATGGGTGTGACCTCATGGGCGTGACCTCATGGTGTGACCTCATGGGTGTGACCTCATGGTGTGGCCTCATGGTGTGACCTCATGGTGTGACCTCATGGGTGTGACCTCATGGGTGTGGCCTCATGGTGTGACCTCATGGGTGTGGCCTCATGGGTGTGACCTCATGGTGTGACCTCATGGGTGTGGCCTCATGGGTGTGACCTCATGGTGTGACCTCATGGGTGTGACCTCATGGGTGTGGCCTCATGGGTGTGGCCTCATGGGTGTGACCTCATGGTGTGACCTCATGGGTGTGACCTCATGGGCGTGGCTAAGGGAATCAATGGGGGCTCTATGGGGGGTGTGGCTCTGGGTGTGGCCAATGGGGTGGGGCTAAAGGGAAGGGGTGTGGCTTCCCTGAGGGCAGGGGTGGGGCTTTGGATGTGGCCTGGGGAAAGGGGCGTGGCCTTTGATTTAGGGGTGTGGCTTGGGTTTGGGGGGGGCCCATGAATGTTGGTAGGGCATTGAGGGGTGGGGTTACAGTGGGGGTGTGACCTCAGGGCTGTGGGCGGTGCTTTGCAGTGTGGGGGCGGAGCTTGGGAAAGGGGGTGTGATCACAACAACCCCACCCAATTAAGATGGGATCTCCTTGGAGAGGGCGTGGCCTCATGTGGGCGTGGCCTGCGCATTCAGCGGTGCCACCGCCCCAGATGACGGCCATGGGGAGGGGGGCGTGGCTTGTAGTGACACTCCCCTCGCCTGATGTGGGCGTGTCCAAAAGGTGGGCGTGGCCTTCCCATGCTGGGGGCGTGGCCACACCCTCAAGCAGCCTCCCATTGGGTCCTGCCTTGGGATGGGATTGGTCTTTTGGGGCGGAGCGGGCGTGTCCTGGTGGGCGTGTCCGAGTCTGGCCCCGCCCCCAGAGCGGCTGTGGACGGCGCCGGAGCTGCTGCGGGACGAGGCCCTGGAGCGGCGCGGCTCCTTCCGGGGGGACGTCTACGGCATCGGCATCATCATGCAGGAGGTGATCTGCAGGAGCGCCCCCTACTGCATGCTGGGGCTGCCCCCCGAAGGTGCGGACCCCAAAACCGACCCCAAAACCGAGTTCCTCACCCCAAAAAACCCCAGGAACCTCCCTGAGCCCCCACTGCGCGCTGGGGCTGCCCCCGCAAGGTGCGGACCCCACACCTGACCCCACACCTGACCCCCAAACCTGACCCCAAATCTGACCCCAAAACTGACCCCACACCTGACCCCACACCTGACCCACACCTGACCCCAGAGATCATCGAGAAGGTCCAGCGGCCGCCCCCCCTGTGCCGCCCCGCGGTCTCGGCCGACCAGGCCCCGCTCGAGTGCATCCACCTGATGAAGGAGTGCTGGAGCGAGCAGCCCGAGAAGAGACCCACCATCGACCAGGTGTTCGACCAGGTGAGGCACACCTGGGGCAGGTGAGGCACACCTGGGAC